CAGATTGTCATGATTTAATTTGAAGAATTACGTTACAGTCTATCGATTAACTAACTTACGTTATAGAATGATGTATGTTCTTCGATTACTTAGTAAAGTATTTCAACTTCTATAAGTTTCCCTATATTCCCACTCATCCAATATCATATCTGAGAACCCCGTTTCCCATGTATTTGCCAGTCTGTCGTCAGGGCCTGCTTGTTGTTAGCTCACTTGCGGCTTGTCTGGTGCCCTTGAGCGGCACAAATGAAGCGTTAAAATGCCGCATTCGACTTTTTTGTGGGGTGGCGACAACATCATTATCGTCATAGTCATCATCATCATCATCATGGGCGACATCAAACGCTGTCAGGCAGCGACTGAACTTGAGCTCTAATTATTTAATTAATTTATTGCGAAAGTTTTCAATTGAATTGAATGTGCTCGCTCAGACTATGGACAAAATGCACATCGCACACCCGCCAGGCCCATCCCCATCCCCCGGCACGCCTCGCCACCTCCTGGTGATCGGCGTTAACTCTTTAATGTTGCAGGTGGCCTCCTTTGGTGGCTGCTGCCGCGCCCAGTTGCACACAACTCAAATAAAATTAATGCAAACGTTCGCTTTGGGATCGTCATGCAGTCTACGCCACGCGACGCCTACGCCACCCGTCTATGCCACGCCCCCAATAAACGACAGCCCCCACCCGCCCAGCGCGCACACAAATATGACAAATGCTTGCGCCAAAAGTCGAGACATTGCAGTTCTCGTTGCCGCTGACAGCGACAATTTTTCTACCTCAGATGCTCGCGGATGCCCAGATGCAGTTGCAGATTTAGATTCATTGATGCCACTTTGCTGGCAAATGCTTTTGGCAAAGTGCATAGCCTATGCACCGCCGCCCACCGCCCACCGTACACCGTACACCAGCCTTATGCTGCTTTCTTTTGCGACACTTTTCATTCTATTTGATGTCTGTTCCCATCATGCTCTTCATTTATTTTGTTTCATTTTATTTATCTTGGCCTGTAATTTCGCGCATAAATTCAAATGCTGCCCAGCTCGGAATGGGGCAGTGGCATGGGCAGGGGCAGGAGTGTTTCTTTTTTATTTATTTTGGCTGCACTTTTCGCTTTTTCGGTTTTTCTTGTATCCTGTACTCGCAAAATGTTTGAAGAAGGGTATGCGATGCAAGTGTAGTGTAGACATTGAGATGGATATCACATATTTCACATTATATTTTGTTGACCTAAATATATATAATATAATTAACATGATGTTTATATAACCCGAAAGTGTGATGATTAACTATACGGCCATCATGTGAATTATCGATATTTCTATCGAAAATATATGAGCTATCCCTTACATGGCCCCAACTGCATTACCGATATGATTGTATTGATTATCGATCAAGAATAGAATTGCAACTTCCTAATAAACATGATATTTATATAACCTGATTTCTTATACTATGTGTATTATTGATATTTCCATCGATTACAAAATTAAGCCATGCTTTATTTTTACTTTCACGTTTTTATATGACATCAATATAACATTAAATATCATATTGGTCTGTTATATAGCTGTTAAGTGCATTATCGAAATCAATTAAAAAACTAAGCTTCGACTCATCACCTTTATTTTCTCATATTCTTACATTATATTTATATAAACTAAAATTCAAACTTTTTAATTGTAATCTTGATATTTCTATCGGTTATTAGAATCGATAATTTGCTTCCTGCATTGATTGCCTCTATTGATAGTTTTTTCAACCAAATTGAAAATATGTAAAAACCATCAATAATATTGCATTCCAAATATCTTAACTAGCGAGTCGAGCTTCTAATGCTAGCTTTTCAATTTATAGGGTACCTTCTAGTCTATCACTTTCGAGCCGACCACTTTTACTTGTTTACGGCCACGTTTTTCGTCCCCAGAAAAATTGCCATGTAATTAAATCTAAATCAAACGTCACATTTTGAAGGTCTTTCGCTGGCAACATCGTCCGCTCGATTGGCTCTGGCCGAATTTTCGCTTTGGCTTTGACTCACCTCAAAGCGCGTAGAGCTCATGTCGCATACAATTTCCACCTATTGCACTGCATTGCATTTTTTTTTTTGTTTTGTCTATTTTGTTGTCGTCAGCAACGGCAACAGCAACCCATGCCCCAAAACCCAAAACCGGAAACGGTTACGCCAATCTCTCGAGCTTATGTATTGATGAGATCTGACATGCTGAAGATCAGCGTTTGTAATGGGTTTTTTGGCATTGAATTTGACGCAACGCAACAGCAACATCAACAGCAACATATATGCATGTATTTTGGTTCAATGGGTTTGTCTCTGGCAATTTCTATATAAATAATGCTGATCTCGAGTCGCGCGATCTGGGAAAGCAGCTTCAAATGGTAACTATGAATAGCCTGATATAATTTAAAATCAAATTATTTCTTGACGATAGCAAAAGGAAGATGTGTTTCATAATTGGATAGATGGGCAAGAACAAAATATCTCAAAGATACATACAAAATCTAGACTAGATGAAGCTGAAATTAAGGGGGTTTCCTGGTGCCAAAGCGGAAAAATGGTTTACGGGCTCGAATAACAGAGCATGGATGTTATATTCAATTATTTAAGCTGACTACCCATTCCCATAGCTCTATTCGATTTGGGTACTATCTACATATAATTGTGGGTAATCTGAGCATTTCGATGCGATCTACAGCGTTTTGTAGTAATATCTGTTTTTATATATTGCCAAAAACAGATTTTAAATAAATCTTGTAATCTTGTGTATCGCCAGCTAAATGAAGATTTAAATATTTTAAGCTTGTTTTAATGATTTAATTCTAGCTTGCATTATTTTATTTCTCGGCCAACTCTTCTTCCAGGCAGAAGAAGAAGAGAAAACTAAAATACCGATGACATTGGCTGAATATTTAAATGAGGTAAAAATTAAATTATAAAATAAATAGACAAATTTTCATGTTATATTAACAAATTGTGACGAAAATCGAAGACATTATTTTTGTATAAATGAGTATATATTTGTATGTGCATGTATGTACGAATGTATGTATGTATTTACGTGTGCAAGTATGTGTTTATGTATAATAGTGTGCATGACAATATGAATTTGATGTGCAGGCATAGAAGTACGCATGTATATGAATGTGTTTGTGTGTCTCTGTCCGTATGTATGAATAACATGTATGTGCATACACATGTATGTAAGTATTTTTGTATGTATGTTTTTATTATTGTCTGTAAGTACAGAAATATTTTGTGCGAAGGGATATAAGTATTATATATGTGTGTCTGTGTTTGTGTGGGTGTGGGTATGTATAAGCGTGTGTGTGTTAGTGTGTGCATTCGTGTATGCATGCATTTATGCATTATGCATTTATGTATGCATGCATGTTTGTTTTCTAAGACCAAACGCACAGCAGGCTTATTTTTCGCTGTCCTGCAAATTTAAATAAAACGAATTTCTAGCAAGTGCTCTACTCCTCGATTCTCAAGAATTCAAGTAGGCTCTGCACTTTTCATGCTTAGCTAGTAGTTATTTTTTGTTTGCACTTTTTTGTTGTTTTTTTTTTGTTCTCTTGTATGTTTGTATATACATTTATATGTATGTACATATATGTATATGTATATACATATATATGTATGTATGTACGTGTGTACACATATATGTATGTATGTATGTACGTTTGTAAATAAATATGTATTTATGTATGTACATGTGTATGTATATATGTACGTGTGTACATATATATGTGTACATATACATACGTATGCATATATGTATGTACATATATATGTTTGTACATATGTAGGTATGTACATATGTATGTTTGCATGAACCTATGTATGTATGTACATATGTATGTATGTACAAATGTATGTATGTACAAATGTATGTATGGACATATGTATGTATGTCTATATGTATGTATGCAGGTTTGCATATATACAAACAAACATGCATTCAAATATGTACAAACAGGCATACATATCGCATTGAATCGCATTTCTACCGAGGAAGCTTGGATTCTACGAAAAGTGTGGAACACCATGAAAAAGTTTTAAACAAATGTTTTTCCCGATTTTTCCACATACGCGGGTGGAATTTCCCGAAACCCCGTCTTACGTGCAAAAATTTCAGCATCCTAGTCAATCAGTCAGGACAAACAGTTTTATATGTAGATATATATATTTTTTCGGTGGTTCGGGTTACAGCTTGCTCCAAATTCCTGCGCCTATGATGCTTTGGTGAAGCGGGTTTAGCTCATCCTTGAACTTAGGGTATGTTTTATAACTGGGTTTGTATATATTTAAAAAATTGTAAGGAAATAAGACAATTTTAAATTACAATTGCCTGATATAGTGAAAAAAGTAGATATTTTCAAAAGCACCAAATTTGTTCTTTACCCAAAATAACATTTACGAGATAGGGGTCAACGTTATTTATACTTTCCGACAGGATCTCCTCCTCGACATGATCTATTCCACTTGAAATTTTTGCAGTTGATTATAAAAAAATGATTATTTTCTTGATCGAATCGGTTCGGTGCAAAATGTTTTGCAGCCTCAAGTGTTATAAAGGTTAAAAACAATAAGAATATTGCTTTCTTTTTATTTAATGATCTTCTTCTTAATAAAAGGGAACCAATCTTTAAATCAAGGGTTCGATAAAGATCTCTCTATTGTATTCAATTATTTTTCAAAACAATATCTTAATCCTAACTGATATGTTCCTATAATTAGTAAATGGTCTGGTAAATATTTAAATTAATTTAATAAACAGATTATTTATTAAGCACAACCCAAGAATGTTATTATTTATACACATTTCTAGTATAAACATATTTTTATAAATACATATATACATCTAATTGATCTGTTTTAAATTCTTATAGAAGTAATAAGTGTGTGCATTTTAATTTGCTGTTATGCTGAGCACTTAAATTGGAATTATTTTTGTAGTAAATTGTAAATTGAGAACTCACCAACCGAATCCCGTCATTGGCATTGCAAATATTAAAATTGCAATTACCATGAATAACCGCATATCGCTCCGAAGCCGCAACAGCGGCAACAAACAAATGTGGCCCAGTCTCGAGTGTTGTTGTTGGTTTATGTTTAGGTTGCTGTTGCTGTTGTTGTTGCTGTTGTTGTTTCAGTTGTTTCAGTATTTGGGCAGGTAGTTAAAGCCTTTTTTATTGCGGCCACGATGAGTGCGAGTACGAGATGTGCTTATTTGAATATTTCGCAAAACGTACAAACAAAAAACGATATTAAATTAAGTTTCAGCTTTCTGACGAGCGAATTAATCAAGCGGCAAGCGCTGAGATACTTTCAGTTCGACGTGGCGTGAAGTGAGCTTTAAATTGAAGCTGGAGGCGAGAGACAGGCGCACTTGTTGAATACAATGAGCACGGGCGACATCGCGAAGACCGAGCAGCGATCAGTGATCAGCGATCAGTGATCAGTGATCAGCGATCAGCCAACAACGTTCACAGAGAGTTAATGATCATCGTGGATGACGCGAAGCCTGAGCTCACGGATTCTTTCACTTTTATGCTTTTATGTTTTATTTTTATTTGTATTATAATTTTTGTTATTTATTTTGTTTACTTAACGCACAGCTGCTGCGTTGTCTGGTACGCACACGGAGAAAGCTGCCGGCGTACTGAGCAGCGCCCAAGGAGCCAGCCAGCGCAGGAGTCGTCGGATCGTGTCCAGGCCCAAAAGCAGCCGGTCGGTCGGTCGGTCGGTCGGTCGGCCAGTCAGCTAGTTGGCCAGGGCCCCAAAATGTGAACAGCGAATCAAAGCGCAAAATGTTGAAAAATAGTTGGAAGGGTGGAGCCGCACCACAGCGGGGCCGAGCGGGGCGTTCAGGAGGAGGGTTGCAGAACTTCTTCGCGGAGTAGCGTAAAAAATGAAATTAAACGCGCGCGCTTTAATCAAAGCGCAGTCCCAGGCTAAAAGCTGAAGCTGAAGCTCAGCTTCCAGTTTCAGTCTCAGTTTTTCGTTTTGTGTTTTAGTTGTTGTTCTTGCTGTTGTTGTTCTGCCCGATTTTTGCCTTTTCGGCCGTATCCTTAGCCAGTTTTTCCCATGCTCTTCGGCCCTGGGAACCCGACCGAAAAAAGTGCACAAAACAAAAACTCGCGACGTTGAACGAACTTCGAACACACAACAGTCGCGTTCTTGTTGTTGTTGTTGTTGTTGTTACTTGGTTGTTGTGTTTCGTTTGGTGTTGCTGCTGCTGTGAATTTGGGACTGAGTTTTGTCGGGAATCTCTCGTTCTGTTCCGTTGCCGGCCACAGCTCGCGACGCTCTGCGGGATTTGAAAATAGTGGCGCACACTTTTCGTGTTTGTTTGGCGAAAAACGCTTCGCAATCTACGGCATCGCCTTCCGTCCGTCTCCCGTTTACGTTTGCGTCTCCGTCCGGACTGCGAATGCGACTGCGATTGCTACTGCGACTGCGACTGCAAATGCGACTGCGATCGACGCTGGCTCTGCTCTGACTCTTGACTGATCTGCGTCTGCGTTTGGCATCGGGAGCACAAACGCCGGCTATGTGCTGGGGCAATAGGCTATGAATGGACGCGGACGCGTTTCGTTCGGATCGCTTATTCTTATTGTTGTTGTTTTTCTTGTTGTTGTTGTTGTTGTTTTCGTAGTCAAAAAGTCTCTTCTGCTGCCACTGCTGCTGCTGTTGCTGTTGCTCTTGTTCTTATTGCTGCTCTGTTTAGGAACGTGAAAATGTATTTCACTCATGCGCGTTCTGTGCGCTCAACAACAACAACAACAACAACGCTGACGACGCGACGTCGCTGCTCGCTGTCAGCGTCGCCGTCGACGTCGCTGTTATTTTGTTGATTTTTTGAGATATTTTCTAATGTATCTGTAGATATGTGAATGTACTGCGTTCGGCTGTGTGCTCTGCCCACAGCACATACAGTTGCCGCTAATTGTAAGTGTACCAAGTGGAAGTCGCGTCCACAAGTACGCAAATTGCATACATCAAGCTTATTATATTTTGATCGCCTCCAATCGCAACCTATCGAACTTTCAAAGCATTGGCAAATCCCAGCGATAAAACTGGTTGAGAATTATAAGAGCAAATGCGCTTTTAATAAGTCTATATGACCATCTGACTCTCGGATTGATAAATAATATTAAAGTATCTTGTTAATTTATATAATATATAATATGTAATATATATATATATATAATTTATTTCTTTAATGTAATGGAAATAATACTACTAGCAAATTCCAGATATTATGATTTTTCTTTGCCTTATTTTAACTATTTTTTTTTTTCAGATTTATTTCAGTTCTTTTGATTTTTTTTTTGTTCTCTCATTATAAAACTTTCTCAGCTTTAGTTTCAATTATGCCACTACATTTGCCGTACGCCTACCTCAACATATCAAGCTGTTCGTTTTATATTAGAGCTCAGTGTTAACTCCTACAACGCCTACCTAGTTAAGGCATTATTTCTCTTGATATCCGACTTGCTGATATCGCAACGTTCCCCACCAGCTCCGCTCTCTTTCTCACTATCTCCATCTCCATCTCTCTCTCTCTCTCTGTCTCTCTCTCCCTCTCTCTCTCTCTCTCTCTCTATGTCTTTCTCTTTGTGTCGCTGAACCACCACCCGCGCCGCCTTTTTGGGCTGCCGCAAATTGTTTACACGCGACAAACTTGTCATCTGTGTTGTGTTTTTTATGTGTTTCTCTGCCCCGGCGATAAAACCCCAAAAAAGGTTAGCGACTTTGTCTCTGGCCATGTCGTCTGCTGCCGCTCCGGTTGTTGGGCTAGGCCACGGCGAGGCAGCAGCAGCAGGTAAGAAACTGTCGACCCAAAAGTCGCAGGCTCGTAAAACTGTGCCACTTTGTATACCACACAGTCGCATAGTCGCACAGTTTCACAGTTGGTCGTGTCAGCTCGCTTTGCATACAGAGTCCATTCCAGGGGCTCAGATCTCCAGCTCCATCTTTAGCTGGGCACACACGTTCGCGTAATAACGCCTCGTCTTCGTATCTGACCGGCTAATCATTCTCAAATACAATAAAACAGATTTCATTTCACAGAGCTCAGTCGAATCCCAGCGTCTACGTCAGCGTCAGTAGCAGCAGCAGCAGAAGCAGCAGAAGCATCATTTGCTACCAAAAGCTTAGTCAGTCAACAGTCAGCAGAATTTAGAGCATGGCGTGTTGATCTCGTGCTGCTGGCGGTCGCTCCGACGGCGCCTCGGCCGCAAAGCAAACGCCAGCCCGTCCGCCCCTCCGCACCTCCGCCCCTCCCTGCTACACACGTCTCACAAACGCATCTCAAAATGTGACAAGGCTGCAATTCTATTGGGCAGCGAACGACTTTTGAATGCTCTTTCCTCTTTAGATCTGAAATTATTTAGATGATATTTAAACAATTGACACCTAATTCTTGAATTTAAATATAAGCTAAGTATTATTTAGGTTTTAGTTATTGAGTTAATGAAAAAATAAGAGTTTGTTTATATTGAAAAACAAGAATAATATTTAAATTGCCACCAACTTCATCCTTAATCTTCAACAACAGTGCCAGACTAATATTCAATAAGAATTTGATTGTTTGTCCCGATTTGCATATATGCCAAAGTTTATATTAATATTAATATTCCTTAAAAAAATTAGATTTATAGCTTTATAGCTAAAAAAAAAAAACACTTTTAATGGAAAGTTTGTTATATATTATAGAGCAATGCATTAATCAACGCACTCTTAATAGTAGATTAGAGTATTAAAGTAGCTAGATGTTTAATATTTTGATTATTTGTATGTATGCTTTATAAGGTAGCTAGGGGAATATTTAATGAAATCCCCTTGTTTAATATTCGGCAATATATTTAACGAGGTTTCTAATGTTTCCAAATCAGAAAACAAACTTATCAAGCAATTTTCCGCTATTCTTAAACAATTCATGATAACTCTTTGGGCAACCCCTGTGCAGTCGGTTGGGCCTCGGCTCGACAATGATCTCGATTAGCTCTATGGGCACTCCAGCTTTCCAGCTCTGCAGCTATCCAGCTCTCCAGTGTTACGTATATGGGCTAATCGTTGCTTGGCGCTTTTTTTTGTTTGTTTATAGAACATTTCAAAGTTATTTTTCGTTGAATTCTGTGAGTGTCTAAAGATTTCGGCATCATTTTGTGATCGTTGTGTTTGTTGTTGTTGCTTATTTTTATTTACTGTGTGGTATTTATGGTTTATGAGGATTGCTCTTGTACCACTGTGCGTATGAAGGCAATTAGAGTTTTTGTTGGAATTAATTTCCTATTGGTTTTTTTTTTTTTTTTGGCTGGCGTTCTAAAGTTCACAAGTTGTCAAAATGTTTGCGCACAAGTCTCGGGCGTTCAGCTCTCGACTTATCTGCTCCGTTAACACATTACCAGCAACTGACGTGGATATGTGGATGTGGATGTGGGATATGTGAGTGCTATTGTTGTTATGGGTTTGACGGCGCTGATTCAACAAATAAACAAAGCGCAAAACTTTCCGAGGCAGGCAAATATATGTCTATTAAATGAAAATAGACACTGACGGACCTGGACGAGCGAAAAAAAAAAAAACTGTGAAGAAAAGCTGAAAATGTTGCCTCTTGTCGGTTGCTTAAAAAACAATAAAAATCGGTTAGGCATCGGCGCAATTTCTGGTCATGATTAATGGATGCCAAACGCTGCTTGCGAAATGCCATAAACAATGTACTCATACCGAAGATCGGGCCGGCAGCAATTGCACTTGGCTTCAATCAAATTGAAAATCAACTGTCAAACTTGCTTCACCTGCCACAACAAGGTGGGCGGCCAAAGGGTAGACGGCTGCAGTGGCCAAGGGGTGGGCGGCTGGTTGGTGTGCTCTGTAGATTTGTTCGCACTATCAATGGGTCATAAAATTTTTATGGACCAGACATACGCGCAGCATATACGCAGCAACAATTCATTTAAGTGCCTTCCTCGTAATTCTTCATAAACTTAAAGTCAGCTAAAATACGCCACAAGCGATCCACATAGATCCATGACGGAGATCTCTTCCTCACTTGTCTGTCCAACAGTCCGTCTCTCTGTGTGTGTGTGGGTGTGTTTGTGCTTGTGGGGGTGTGTGTCGGTATTAGGGCATTGTTGCTGTTGTTGTTTGTGTTCGGGGAAACGATTTCGTATTGTGCCACACAGCTCCTCCAAACCGAAGAACAACAAACAAAAACGTCATGTTATGAGCAATTAACGTAATTGGAAAATGGCATTGGGCAAAGTGGAGCGCATTAGAGTTGCCCCACATCTTCCTCAGCCGTGGTACTTGGCCATTCTAAGGGTACAACAGTCACTTAGACCAGTAAGTAGTTACTTAATGAAGATAAGAACATATCAACTCCTAGGCGATCTAACTTAAAGAGAACTTACTACTACTACAACTACTCAAAAATAGGCTGAGCCTGTTTTGATTTTACCATGAACCGAAGGAAAAATTGGATAATAATAAGAGACAGCTGTATTAAAGGCTTAACCGAACTCTATTTCTAAAAAAAAATAGTGGCAAGTTCCAAATTTGTCTTTCTTACATTTTAAAATATTGTTTCAATATTTTCACGGTTTAACAAAGCGTAAATGATATGTTTTTAATTCTCTGAGTATGGATATTGAACTAATATTAATAAATAATAAAATATGTAATACGCCAAGGCTTCAACTAAAACTAAATTTCATAAGTAAGGCGAATCATTGGTTCAAACCGTGAACCGAACCAACTTCAATTTATGATGGGCTTGCAGCCATGATTCGAACTCTATAGAAATAAAGAAAATATTATTAACGCTAGCAAAATTTTTGAAGAAATCGTATATGTTTAATAATTCAAATTTATAAACAGAAAGGTGTATTAAAATTAACTACTAAAGTGGTAAACTAATACAAAGTGTGCAAATTCGTCAAAGAAAAACATCATATATGGCCTTTATATATTACTTGCAATTCAACAACATTTCTGATTTAGTATAAAATGTATGCATATTGTAATTCAATTGAGCTTATGTTTAGATATGCGAGCAAGCTTATCTTTATATATATACCGAAATTAAGGAATTTTGAAACGTGAATAGGGTATTTATAAATCTGAATACTTAAAATTCCGAAAATCAATTGCTTAAAATATAATTTTCGCATTCTTGGAATAACATAACATAATTTTACTCCCAAATGTCAATAAAAAAAATGTGTAAAATTTCTTATCTGGAAATTTTGTTTAAAAAACTGCTTTGATCGAAATTAGTATTAAACGGAATATTAGGTTTTCCTTTCGGATTATTCAATTTATGATAAACAATGATAGTTTTCTTTCTCAGTAAAAAACTGGCAACAATTTCTTTTCTTTCTGGAAAAGCCTTTTGATGTCTCGATGTAGATCCAACGCATATATAAATCGGTGACATGGGTAATATTAAATTTCTCCTTAAATTCTAAATATCATATTTTTAAGAAAATGCCCTAGGACATCCTAGAA